TTTTTTAATTTAAAATTTAAAACTTTAATTGTAAAGCATGCCTTCCCATGGGCAGGGACAGGAAGGGAAACTGGAAAATAAAACACAATAGATCTGCATGATTTTACATTTTTATTTCCAACTAAACTCAAAACATTGTTTATAGGCCAGGTGTAGTTGTTCAGTTGTAATCCCAGCACTTTGGGAGGCTGAGGTAGGATCACCTGAGCCCTGGACTTTGAGGCAAGCCTGGGTGACATAGTAGGATGTCATCCCTACAAAAAATTTTAAAATTAGCTAAGTGTGATGGTATATGCCTGTGATTCCAGCTACTCTGGAGGCTGAGGCATGAGAATCACCTGAGCCCAGGAGCTTAAGGCTTGTCTCTTAAAAAAAAAAAAAAAAAAAAAATTCCGGGCACGGTGGCTCACACCTGTAATCCCAGCACATTGGGAGGCTGAGGCAGACAGATCACTTGAGGTCAGGAGTTCAAGACCAGCCTGGCCAACATGGCAAAACCCTGTTTCTACTAAAGTACAAAAATTAGCTGGGCGTGATGGTGCACGTCTAATCCCAGCTACTTGGGAGGCTGAGGCAGGAGAATTGCTTGAACCCGGAAGGTGGAGGATGCAGTGAGCTGAGATCGTGCCACTGTACTCCAGCCTGGGCAACAGAGCGAGATTCTGTCTCAAAAAACAAAAACCAAAAACCAAAACAAAACAAAACAAAAAACTATAGAAGAAAAAATAAACATCAATTGCTTCCCATTGCCAACAAAATAATATACAAATTTCATAGAATCACATTCAAGGCCTTCCATAATCTGTCCAAATTTATTTTTTGCCTTCAATTTCCACTACAACTTTCCAAGAAAATAAGTCTGGACACACCAGGCTCTTATTACTATTTTTTTTGAAACAGGGCCTGGCTCTGTTGCCCAGGTTGCAGGTTGGTGTGTAGTGACACAATCATGGCTCACTGCAGCTTCTGCCTCCCCAGCTCAAGCGATCCTCCCACCTCAGCCTCCTGAGTAGCTGGGGCTACAATTTTTTTTATTTTTTGTAGAGACAGGGTTTCACCATGTTGCCCAAGCTGGTCTTGAACTTCTGGGCTCAAATGAGCCGCCAGCCTCAGCCTCCCAAAGTGCTGGGATTACAGGCATGAACCACCAAGCCTGGTCCACAGCACACACTTGACATTTCCCCAAAACAGCTGGCATTTTCATGATTTTACCTTTTCTCTAGCTTCTTTCTTCTAGTAAACTTTGACCTATCAAAACCCTTCTTCTTTTCCATTCATAGCTCAAATGCTGCCTTCTTTGTGAATTCTCCATTTCCCTCTGACAAACTGAATATGTCATCTGCCATACCATGATAGTTTGCTTGTACAGTGGGCCCCGCATATCTGCGGATTTCACATCTGCAGAATGTGAATCGGGTGTGGTGGTGCACACCTGTAGTCCCAGCTACTGGGGAGTCTGAGGCACAAGAGTCACTTGAACCTGGGAGGCAGAAGTTGCAGTGAGCTGAGATCATACCACTGCACTACAGCTCTGGGTGACAGAGCAAGACTCCATCTCAGAAAAGGAAAAAAAAAAGATAATAATAATTTTTTAAAAAGAACTAAGTGTTTCTTACACATTTGTTTCCCTGAACAGACTTTTCTTATTCATTTTTCTACCCTCTCCAGAACTGCTCAAAAGTCCAACGAATAGAATACAGCAAAAATGATTTTCAAAGACCACTTGTTAAAAAGCATGTTGAGTTGTGTTTGGATTTACCTGCTCCCTACCACCCCTAACTACCCAGTCCAAAAAACTTTTGAGGGTAAAGAAATAAAATGGGCCAGGCATGGTGGCTCATGCCTGTAATTCAAGCACTTTGGGAGGCCAAGGCAGGTGGATCATCTGAGGTCATGAGTTTGAGACCACCCTGGCCAACATAGTGAAACCCTGTCTCTGCTAAAAATACAAAAATTATTTGGGCATGGTGGTGCCTGCCTGTAGTCCCAGCTACCCGAAGCCTGGGGTAGGAGAATCTCTTGAAACTGGGAAGTGGAGGTTGCAGTGAGCCAAGACTGTGCCACTGCACTCCAGCCTGGGCGACAGAGCAAGACTCCGTCTCAAAAAAAAAAAAAAAGAAGTAAAACAGTAAAAAGATACTTTCCTTTCTTCAGTAATGTAAACATGAAATTTTCTCAATGTTCTACCAGTCATTCACTTTCACTTAGGAACAAAATCATAAGTTTAGGAACTAATGATTCCTCTAACCACACTTAACATACTAAAAACTACTCAAAGTGGTTTTTTGCAACATTATTATACAATCCACACTGAGCTCTTTTGAATGTCATTAAATTCTGAACCTAAATAAAGGTGGCACCTAGAATCTAAAGGTTTGAAAAAAGATAGTTCATTAGGCTAAAATAGCACAAGGTGGTCTGACATGAATTTCATTCAGGACTTTGAATACATTAGCACTCTTAATCCTTCCACCTGCTGTAAATATGCAAAATAACAATTTTTTTAAGGAAATGAACTCTGCAATCTTGCTATTAAAAAAAACCAGAACATTTTATAACTCTGAATTTTCATATTAGCAAGTATTTATGGAAAAGTTTATTTTTTCTTACCCTAATAATTATCTTAAAATAAAGGAATAAATCTTATAGTGAAAGTTACCAAAGCTTTGCAGATAGGAGTTGAGAGAGTTTTATTCAGAGATACTTGAACTGTGTATTTATTCTCATAGTTTATTCCTTTTACATGAAAGGAAAATAGTTCTAATGAAAATGCTTGTTTTAACTTTTTTTTTAGTGATAAAACATAACAGTCATACTTTGGGAACATTTACAATATGAAATATATACAGTAATCAATTTACTTATCACAAATCTAATCTAGCATAATATATTAACAATATTCATAATATAGCTATTTCACAAACAAAAGAAGGTACAATTCAAATATTACACACTGAGCTGGCCAATTATATTCTTTTGTTAATGGATATCACGCCAGCTATAAAACTACTGAGATAAAAATGTGACTCTGTAATCACTGAGAAGTGACTGGTTGCTAGCATAGATTCATGGTTTTATTGTTCAAGACTTAAATTAAAATCTGCAAGTATTTAATTTTACTATCTAGAAACCTTAACATCCTTTATGATTATTTCCAAATATAAAATAGAAATGATTCATTTACCTGTATGAGATGTTCCAACATAGCCAACAATTCTAATTCCAAGACTCTGCCCATCTTTTTTCACGAGCTCAACATTATAAGTTTCAAAAAGAGAACTGTCCTAAAGGAAAAACCAAATTTAATTATATATGCTTAGTGGCATACTTGTGTGTACATAGTCAATCTGTGCAAGGTTTGTCAAGTATTTTCTTAGTGCCTATGGTAGGCAGAATTTTAAGACAGTCCCATGACCTTCAATCCCTTGTGCTACTCCCATATTGATGCCATATTACATGGCAAAATGGAGATTATCCAGGTGGGCCTAATCTCATCACTGGAGTCCTTTAAAGGCAGAGTTTTCTCCTGCTGGTAGTAGAAAGGGAAATGAAAAAGATCTGAATCATTAAGGACTCAACTTGTGGTTTGAAGATGGAGGGAGTCACGTGACAAGTAATGTAGGGGACCTTAAGGAGCCGAAAGAGGTCTCTGGCTGGCAGCCAACAAATAAAAAGAGACCTCAGTCCTACAGTTGCAAGGAACAAGATTCTGCCAACAATCCGAATGAGACTGGACGTGGACTATCCCCAGGGCATCCAGAAAAGAGCCCAGCCAGGCCCACACCTTGATTTTGGCCTTCGTAAGAAGCTAAGCAGAGGCCACGTACAGTGGCTCACACCTATAATCCCAGCATTTTGGGAGGCCAAGGCAGGCAGATCACCTGAGGTCAGGAGTTTGAGACCAGCCTGGCCAGCATGGTAAAACCCCGTCTCTACTGAAAATACAAAAATTAGCCAGGCGTGGTGGCACATGCCTGTAACCCCCACTGCTCCGGAGGCTGATACAGGAGAATTGCTTGAACCCAAGAGGCAGAGGCTGCAGTGAGCCGAGATCACGCCACTGCACTCCAGGCTGGGCAACAGAGCAAGACCCTGTCTCAAAAAAAAAAAAAAAGAAAAAGAAAAAGAAAAAAAGAAGCAACAGCAGCTAAGCAGAGAGTCAAGCCAAGCCCACCCTGAATTCTGACCTACAGAACTGTGAACTAACAAAGGACATTGTTTTAAACCAGTAAATTTGTTATACAACAACAGAAAGCTAATATAACCACTTAGAAAAAAGTTAGGCTATATTTGTATCTGAAAGAACTACGAACATAAAGAAAAATTTAGAAACAAAACGTAAAACTAATTATTGTTCAGTAATATAAAAATATCGACCTAAAACTTATTTTATTTTCTTCTTTGTTGTTGGTTTTTTTGTTTTTTTTTTTCCAGAGACAAAATCTTGCTCTGTCACCCAAGCAGGAGTGCAATGCAGCAATCACAGCTTATTGCAACCTCAAACTCCTGGCCTCAAGCAATCCTCCCCCTTCAGCCTTCCAGGTAGCTGGGACTACAGGTGTGAGCTACTGCATCTGGCCCTAAAACTTATTTTCAATACTCGTCTTTTAAACTATTCTGTAAATGAGTAAGGTGTCTAAATACATAATACTTTGCTTTTAATTCAAAACATTAACATGAGAAAGTAAATAATTGATTCAATCAAGTTTCCACTTATCACATATCCACATTTGTCTCTCACTACAAAGTAGAAGGCTCTGGGGAACTAGAGTAATGGAGGAAAAAGAAAATGTAACCACAATTTGGAGAAACTTTTTTTTTTTTTTGAGACAGTCTTCCTCTGTCACCCAGGCTAGAGTGCAGTGGCAGGATCTCGGCTCACTGCAACCTCCACCTCCCGGGTTCAGGTGATTCTCCTGCCTCAGCCTCCTAAGTAGCTGGGATTATAAGCGTGTGCCACCACTCCTGGCTAATCTTTGTATTTTTAGTAGAATCGGGTTTCACCATGTTGGCCAGGCTGGTCTCGAACTCCTGGTCTCATGTGATCCACCTGCCTTAGCCTCCCAAAGTGCTGGGATTACAGGCGTGAGCCACCGAGCCCAGCTGGAGAAACTTTTTAAAGGTTCTGATATTTCAAATAGAAAACTTCCACTCATACAGTTCCAAGTAGAGAAAGGCAACAACTTCCCAGAATACACAGAATGACATCTCAGGTGATGATAATCAGTGGCCTTCCACCCTTTTCCACCATAATCATTTATCTTTCCTTTTGTTTTTGTTTCTTTCTTTCTTTTTTTTTTTTTTTTTTTTTTTTTAACAGAGTCTTGCCCTGTTGCCCAGGCTGGAGTGCAGTGACACAATCTCAGCTCACTGCAACCTCTGCCTCCTCGGTTGAAGTGACTCAGCCGGAGAATCCGGGACTACAGGTGTGCACCACATCTGGCTAATTTTTGTATTTTTAGTAGAGATTGGGTTTTGCCATGTTGGCCAGGCTGCTCTTGAACCCCTGACCCCAGGTGATCCACTCACCTTGGCCTCCCAAAGTGCTGGACTAGAGGCACGAGCCATCGCGTCCGGCCCATTTCTCTTTTCTTTCCTCTTCCTCCTGGACCCTCCCTTTAACACCTATTTCTGGCCAGTCATGGTGGCTCACGCCTGTAATCTCAGCACTTTGGGAGGCCAAGGTGGGCAGATCACCTGAGGTCGGAAGTTTGAGACCAGCCTGACCAACATGGGGAAACTCCATCTCTACTAAAGATACAAAATTAGCCAGGCGTGGTGGTGCATGCCTGTAATCCCAGCTATTCAGGAGGCTGAGGCAGGAGAATCGCTTGAACCTGGGAGGTGGAGGTTGCGGTGAGCCAAGATCGCGCTGCTGCACTCCAACCTGGGCAACAAGAGCGAAACTCCATCTCAAAAACAAAACAAAACAAGCAAACAAACAAAAAACCCATTTCTTTGCTTTTACTTTATTATGTCTTCACTAAAAGCCCATGTTGAGATAGTGGGAAGGAGCTTGGAATGGACCAGAAACATGTGAATTCAAATTCCAGTTTTGCAACTTACTCCCTATAAGGTCTTTAACATGATGTTTGACTTTATTTTCCTCATCTATTAAATGTACAATAAGGCCTATCTGGCAGAATTACTGTGAAGATTTCAGATGATCTGAACAATTCCAGGTGTTTGATAATTAAAAATAACTATTATTATTATATAACTAAAATAATTAGTATAATAAATATTATTATTGATATCCATTCCCTTTAGTCAGCCTGTGGCTACCAGTGATAATTCTCACACATCAGCCAGTGTTAACAGTTTTCCCTCCACCACCTGGATGTCTCCTCACCAGCTCAGTGAAATAGACAAGGCAAGTATTATTATTCTTCAATTTATAAATAAGTCACTGATGCTCAGGGAGGCTGAATGACTTAACCCTGAGAAACAGCAAAATAGAAAAACCAACATGTCTAATGTCTCCAAATGAGTTTTTTTATTTTCCTGTTTCACTGGTGAGCACACAACTCACACCAATGTGGTGCCTCAAGTTGAAAGAATTTCTTATCTTACAGTGTGTCACACCCAGGCTTTGATTTGAGATGAAAGAATGATATGTATAACTCACAGAACCAGGGCCTTTGCTGGCTACAGTAGGCAGGGCAACAGGTAAGGCTGCAGGGGCAGGAGGGGTGACTGAAATGTCACCAGCTGGATCTCTAGCAACGAGCATCCTGACTGAATTCCCACAGTTCCTTAGAACTTGTGCAACTTGCTCGCTGGTCATTCCCTGCACATTTGTGCCACCAATCTTCAAGATGTGGTCCCCTGTCTGGAGTCTTCCATCCTTCAATCCAAGAAAAAGACAAAATTATTTCGAGAAATCAATGCTCTAACTTCACTAGTTAATAACAGTTCATCAGATTTTTGGCTCTGGCAAAATGGCTGACAAAAAAGCCACCTAAAATGCTGAATAAAATGGAGTACTGTTAATAACTGGCTGAAATGGTGAGAGTAAAGGAATTTCACGTAGAATACAAAGGAAAGGCTCAAAATGAGAAAAGTAACCAGTATTCTAAAAAAGGCCTTTGCTTGAGGGTATAAGCTCATGCCTAATGGCCTAGAGTTGGGTGTTAATGGCCATGTGTGCAAGGAAAAGGACAGAAAAGCCAGGGCCTCAAGAAGGAAAGGTCAGAACAGAAGCCTCCAGCATAAAGCTGGGAACTTGAAAACCAACATCCTCAGTGACATGTTTGAGGAATAGAAAGATGCCAGTGCGGCTACAAGAAAATGAGGGAAAAAAAGAGTAATCTAAGAGATGGGAGAGTTAACGAAGTCAGACAGTATAGGGCATCTTCTTTGCATGATTGGGAAGAGAAGGCATTGAGTAGGATTTTGAAACAGAAGAGTGACATTACCTGACTGACTTCAACAACAGAATTCAAGCTTCTGTGCTTAAAATAAACTACAGAAGAGGAAACGAGAGAAGCAAAAATACGAGTTGGGAGGCCTTAGCAATAATCCACAATAGCTTGGGTGTGGTTCACAGCTGGGGTGTTCAGAAGTGACATTCTAGATAGATAGATAGATAGATAGATAGATAGATAGATAGATAGATAGATAGATAGATAGATAGATTTTTGTTTTGTTTTGTTTTGTTTTTGAATCAGAATCTCATGCTCTGTCACCCAGGCTAGAGGGCAATGGCGCGATCTCGGCTCACTGCAACCTCCGCCTCCGGGGTTCAAGGGATTCTCCTGCCTCAGCCTCCTGAATAGCTGGGATTACAGGTGCGCACCACCACGCTTGGCTAATTTTTGTATTTTTAGTAGAGACAGGGTTTCACCATGTCATGCTGGTCTCAAACTCCTGACCTCATGATCCACCCACCTCAGCCTCTCAAAGTGCTTGGATTACAGGCGTGAGCCACCATGCCCGGCCAAGATAGATAGATAGATAGATAGATAGATAGATAGATAGATACATACCTACATACATACATACATACATACATTATTTTTTTTTTGAGACGGAGTCTCGCTCTGTCACCCAGGCTGGAGTGCAGTGGCCGGATCTCAACTCACTGGAAGCTCCGCCTCCCGGGTTCACGCCATTCTCCTGCCTCAGCCTCCCAAGTAGCTGGGACTACAGGCGCCCGCCACCTCGCCCGGTTAGTTTTTTTGTATTTTTTTTAGTAGAGACGGGGTTTCACCGTGTTAGCCAGGATGTATGCCCGGCCAAGATATATTTTTAATAAACTGTCAATAGGATTTGCAGATAGCTTCTATATGGGCTATGAGGCAGGAAAAGGGGTCAAAACTCCCAAGTTTTTAGCCTGAGCAACTGGAAAGATAGAGTTGCCATGAACTGAGATGAAGACTACAGAGGTACAGATGGGTGAGGTGGAAATCAGGAGTTCAGTTTCAGAGCTGTTGTCTTAGATACCTATTAGACATTCAAGTGGAGGTAACAGGTATACAGCCAGATACACAAATCTGAAGTTCAGTAGAGAAATCCAGACTACACATTTAAATTTGGGAGTTGGGGAGAGGTTTAAAAAAAAAAAAAAAAAAAAACCTTGCGGGTCATCAGCACATAGAAGGTATTTAAAGTCATGATTCTGCCAGCAGAGTGGCTCACACCTGTAATCCCAGCACTTTGGGAGGCCAAAGTAGGTGGATCACTTGAGGCCAAGAGTTCGAGACCAGCCTGGCCAACATGGAGAAACCCCGTCTCTACTAAAAATACAAAAATTAGCCAGATGTGATGGCACACACCTGTAATCTCAACTACTCGGGAGGCTGAGGCATGAGAATCGCTTGAACCTGGGAGGCGGAGGTTGCAGTGAGCCAAGATCACGTCACTGCACTCCAGCTTAGGCGACCCAGAGCTAGACTCTTATCTCATAAAAAATAAAAATTAAATAAATAAATAAACAAATAAATAAATAAATAAATAAATAAAGTCAAGGTTCCAGATGAGTTGAAAGAAAAGATACATAATGTTATATTTCTTAAGCTAAGTGGTATGTATTATACACTGGTAACTATTGTTTTGTTTTGTTGAGATGGAGTCCCACTCTGTTGCCCAAGTTGGTCTTGCAAATAATTATTGTTTAATTATCATTTAAAATGTGCACAGATATTATATACATTCTTTTACATGTATATTTCATACACAGAAGGTAAATAATTTATCAAAATGAGTATCTGTTCTAAACGTTCATCATTTCCCTTCTTTGATAAATTTTTGAAACAGCTAATTTTTACAAAATTTTTCCTAAATTTGTTTAGTCAGAAATTTTGAATTCACCCTACTTATCTTTATTACAGCGCATTAAAGATACCACAATGTTAACACCGCTGGCTTTATTTAAACTTATACATGCAGAGCACCTTACAGGTTCAAAATCACTTTCATGTACCATCTCACTTAGAGAAGGACAACTATCAAATGAGAAAAACTGAGATACAAAAAGTTTGACTGACTTGACCAAGGTCACAAAGCTGATAAAAGGGTTGAACCAAAGTTGAATCCAAGTTGCTCACTAAGACTACTCTCATCCAGTTATTTGCCTTATACTTCAATATCTCCAGAGTAACATTACTGTAGCAAGTCAATCTCCTACACGCAAAGGCTGCTAGTAGATAGTAAATGTACTGCTTTCCTATTCTCCAAGAAACTGCCTATAACTCTCAAAAAGTTTGAATGAAATGAAGATCAAAAATAGATATTCTGCAACATGGAGAGAAAGCTTGAGAACAGAGCAGACTATTGGGTTAATCCAGTTCTAAGCTTCAAAATCCTAGTTTCAGGTGGCACCACCTGCAAGCTAAAGATGAGATTCTGAAGGAAGAAGTTTTTTTAAAAAACCTTTAGACTGAAAAGTCTATTCTCCATCCTTCCTTTTTGCCAATTTTACAGGAACCTAAATGAAGGAATGTTTTAGATTGAAATAATGCGTACAAAGTTCTGTGCTTTCAGAAGCCACTAGAAGGGACTGGAAGTGGAGAGAAGTGGTGCAGCAAAAATGCAATTTAATTCAGAAACATCTGGAAAGACTTAGAAAATGGAAACAGATGCAAGGAGGACATTGTTATGAAAAAAGGAATGAAGAATTGCTGGATTTCTACTTTAATAGTGATAACTTGATATTCTGTTTTCATCCATGCAACAGACTTAAAACAAAATAAGCAACTGCTTAAGAGAAAGTCAGTGGTTCTGATGAAAAATAAGGGTAAAGTTACCTCTGTAAATCAAACTATTCTTCAATAGAATTATGCCTTGATCAAAAATTTTTTTAAAAATATGTCTAATAAGTGTTTTCATACTTGGCTTGGCCAAAGAAGGACATTTTATCATAAAGTATATTTTTAGTCACTTCCTAGGCATTAGTTTTCTTCTATTTTACCTCAACTCTTAATTTAAAATGATGTCGATAATTTGCATCTGTCACTGAAAGTCAAACATTTTCTTCCTGCAGAAAAGCAGGTGTTCTAAAGAATTCATAAGTACAAAAATAGTCATTAGTCAGATTGATAGAAAGACACCAAAATGACAGCTACCTTGTCTAAGTCCAGCAGCCCCAGTCTGCATTTTATTGATATTTTCTGATCAACATTCTCCTTCCATAACCTATCTTCTGTGTGAGGAAACTGAAAGGCATAAAGTCCCTTTTGTTCTTTAACAGAAATCGTCAATCAGTGAAAACCAATAAATAGCTATGCCAAGATTCAAGTACACAGCGTGCTAATCAAACATTCACATATACCAGTTTTATTAATCCATAGATTCTTTCAAAAGAGAAAAAAATTATGCATATTGGCGAAGATAGTGTGAAAGGCAGAAAAATTAAAATAGCTGATGCAACAGGGGTATCACACACTTACAGTGAATGTACACCAGTAATCCCAGCACTTGTTTTTGTTTGAGACGGAGTCTCACTCTGTGGCCAGACCGGCCTGGCCAACATAGTGAAACCCCGTATCTACTGAAAACACAAAAATTAGCTGGGCATGGTGGTGAGCACCTGTGATTCCAGCTACATGGGATGCTGAGGCACAAGACTTGAACCTGGGAAGTGGAGGATGCAGTGAGCCAAAATCATACCACTGCACTCCAGTCTGAGCAACAGAGAAAGACACTGTCTCAAAAAAAAAAAAAAAAAAAAAAAAAGGAGCAACTTTAGGCTAAAAAAAAAAAAACCACATTACTTTGCATTTTAACTTCTCTGATATGCTGTTGTGTATGATAATTTTTAAAAAATTTTAAAACCTATAGTAATTCAGACCTGAGCTACAAAAGAAGAAATCAAATTTGTTTCTTCAAAAACTAAAAAATGGGTCCAGGTATCCATGGCTCACACCTGTAATCCCAACACTTTGGGAGGACTGCTTAAAGTCACGAGTTGGAAGCTGCAGTGAGCTAGGATCGTACCACTGCACTCTAGCCTAAGTGACAGAGCAAGACTCTGTCTCTATTTAGGAAAAGAAAAAAAAAAAAAGGCACCAAATACTTCCACAACTCAGAAAATGAAATAATAACTATGTTCGATTCCAGGCCAGTTTTATTATTGGTCTTCAATCAAAAGGCAACATGTCATTGATAGAAAAGGGTAACTTTATAAAACAAAATACACCCTTTTTCCCTAAAGGAATTAAAGAAACTATCCTATCCTACTCAAATTCCCAGAGCACTCATTAACTGATTTCTAAAGATAAAGAAAATATCTGTTTATAGAATCACTCAAAGCAAAATTGCTTGGGACTAACCAACCATTTAGTGACCTCAAGCTGGGCCTTCCTTACTCTACACTGAAAAGTCTCTCAAAGTCCACATCCACCCTCA